CTCCTTCTAAATTGTGGCCTCCTCTAAACAGGAGAGGAGACACTTTTCAGTCACTTAGGTACCACAGAAAACCAGCACTGTGCCTAGCACAAAGAACACTCCAGGGCAGGGCAGTATACAAATGAGGATAATATAATTAGGGTGACCACACAATTTATATCCAAACTATAATCATTACTTTTGAGAGTAATGAGGGTGCTAGTAATAATAATGTCAGGACAAAAGGTATAACCAGGGACTGTCTCAGACAAATGGGAGTTACGTTCACCCAGATAACAATGGCCAACATTGATTGAGCTCTTACTGTTTGTCAGTCACTATCCTGCATGCTGTCACTTATTTGACCTACACTGTGACTCATGTGGGAACAACTGTTATTATCTGCCTTTCACAGAGAAAGACTCTGTGGAAGACACGTAAGGGAACTTACACAGGGCAGTATGTATGATTAAGGGCATGGGTGGGGGTGCTGGGACTGAACCCAGGTCCTCTGAGTCCACAGCTCCTCTGCTGGACCATTGTGTCCTATTACTTCCTAGTGGAAGATCTCAGGCCTTCCTGAGTAGGACAGGATGAGGATCTCTTCCTAGCTGAACTGGAAGCAGCTTTGTTGACCTCTGTGGCTTTAGTTTCTTCATCCACAGAATGATGATGATGCCTATTTCCAGTAACCCTGGAGGGTTAGGTGAGATAAGGTATGAGAAGGTTGGGCATAGTGTGTGTCCCTGTGACGGCATACTCATCCTAGGAGGAAGCCATCTGCCAGTTTACTACAGCCTCCATAAGACATGTACTCCGATAGCTGTGACAGAAAGTAAAATGGGGCAAATACTCTAACAGAGTGTCTAGTGAGGTCACCAGAGATCCCATAGCCTAATGGTTACAAGCATGAAATTTGCGTAACACTTGGGTTCAAATTCAGGCTCTGCGACTTGATTAGATATTTCTCCAGAGAAGATATGCAAATGGACAATAAGGACATGAAAGGATGCGGTATCAATCTTCCTGAAGAAAATACAAAACAAAATCAGAGTGAAATATCCATTAAGGCCCATCAGGATGGGTAAAACACAAAATACACATGATAAGGGAATATACATGGCAGGAACACCTGGTAGAGAAACTGAAATCCTCTTGCTTTGCAGGTGAAGTTGTAAACTGCTAGAGCCACTTTTGAAAAACAGTTGGATAGGTCCTTAAAAAGTTAAATATGAGTTACCATGAGACCCAACAATTTCTCTCTTAGGTATAACACTAAGAGCATTGAAAAATGCACCCACACAAAAGCTGATACACAAATGTTTATAGCAACATTATTCATAACAGCCAACAAAATGGAGACAACCTAAATGTCCATTGCTGATGTGGTATATCTATGCAATGAAATGTTATTCAGCAAAATAAAGAACTTGAAGTACTGATACATGCTATAACATACAATAACCTTGAAAATGAGATGCTAAGTGAAAGAAGCCAGTCACAAAGGACCATATATTATATGATCCTATTTATATGAACTATAATTTGCTTCCAGAATAGGTACCTCTATAGAGACAGGAATTAGATTAGTGGCTACCTAGGTCTGGAGAATTTGTGGGAGAGAGTGATTGCTAATGAATATAGGGCTTCTTTTTGGGATGATGAAAATGGTATGAAATTAGCTAGTGGTGATGGTTGCATAATTCTGTGAATGCACTAAAACCACTGAATGGTATACTTTCAAAAGGTGAACTGAATGGTATGGGAGTCATATGTCAATAAAGCAGTTACTAAAAAATTTAAGCTCTGCTATTGCCGTTGAGTGTTGGTGTCATTTTCTATAATAAAGGGCTCATTACAGCGTCTAACTCAAAGAACAGGTATAAGGTTTAAATGGGAGATCGTAGGTAAAACTCTTGGCACAGCGTCTGGTTTAGTAAATGCTCAATAATAGATAGTGATGATGTTAATGTTTTTGCTGAAATACATGGCCTTTCTTCTTGTCCATGCTGAAGCGCAGGGTCAGTGGTGCTTTCAGTGAAATAAGCTGGGGATTTGTGATGACTTGGGATGCATGAAGACTGACCCCCTCTTTAACACTCTCAAATAGCATGTGCCTCTGATGGTATGACCTTATGGCTCTGATATCTGTTATTTATTTCTTAACTAATATAACTGAGACCTTGCTCAAGATGTGCTCATGAAAAATTACCCTTTTAATGGCGGAGCATTTAATGAGAAACTGGATTATCTACTGCATAAGTGCCCTTCATACAAATTAGCTTGGCCCTGGGTCCTAATCTAAATTGGGCTCCCTACTTTCCTCTAAATGGCCTAATATTTTCTTATTAATCTCTGCCCTTGTTCACCTGATCTGGTTTTGCCTCCTCTTAAGAAGCTTCCTCCTTGGTAGATCCCTATGCCCTGACAAATGTTCCTTAAGGCCGTCTTTGTGTCTGACTCATGGACAGTTTTCAGAGATGACATGCAGGCCAAAAACTCTTCCATTTTTACAGTCTTTCCAGTGAAGTTTTAATGCTGCCAGTGTATTGAGTATCAGCAGGTCTGGGCCAGGTAAAAGACGGGACTGTATAGGGAACTCGGGGAGATGGGAAAACTTAATCATAGTGGTGAGGAGAACAGGCTTAAAAACACAGAATACAAGCAAACCACAAGCCTGGGCTTTGTCCTCAGATAGATCTGGGTTTAGGTCCCATTTAGTGATTTTGGTCAAGTTACTTGGTCTTCAGACTTTCAATTTTGGTCCTTGTCTGAAAATCCTGAATAATAATACACACCTCTAGGATTTTTTTTCTGGGACTAAACAGTTTGGTACATATATTCAATATATGCTTTGTATAAGACATGATCAATGCTACCAGGTATTGTGGTTCTAATGAACTGTCGGAGGAAGTCCCAAATACTGAAAGGAATGTTAATAGTGACAAAATAGTGTCATGTGTTGAAGATGCAGAGATGGTATTTGTGACAGAGTAAGATGGCCTTCCCAAGAAGCAGGCAAGCCCTAGGCCACTCCTACCAAACAATATATAATAATGCAGTGAAAGGTGAACTGTAGTACCATGGGCCCTGTTGTTTAGCTAGATGTCCAGAGAGGCAAATGTTCTTCTCTTTATTCTTAGCTTTAGTCCTTAATGTCTGCTCTCACTGAACTCTGGAGACTTAATTTTTACATTGAATATATTCTCTCACTAAGCATTCACATGTTATATTTGCTTTATGGAATATTATTCAAAGACTTGAATATACAAGGAGTCAGCAAAGATGCTGTGGATAAATACTACCTGAGTGTTGGGGATGACAGGTCCAGGCCTGCCTCTGTGGACATTTCTCCTTTGTGCCCTCCTGCCCTCGTATTGTATCTTCCACATGCTTCTTTTATTGGGCGGATAATACTGGTGGCAGCTACCACTTATAGAAAACTTAACATGTGAATACAGGCTTTGCACATACTATCTCATTTAAGCTACTATTCATAACTCTGAAAGTCCATATTATTCTTCATGTAACAAGTAAGGAAATTGAGACTCAGCAGATAGTTTAGATGGTTTTCAAAGGAAAGAGCCATGATTTAAAATGAGGATGTCTAACTCTAACGCTTATACATTCTTATATATCCAGCACAACACATTAGTATGTTTATTCACAGTCACCAGAAACTTGAGCTTTATTGGGCACAGACTTTATCTCATTTGTATGTGGTCAGCGCATAACAACATCGCGCATAGAGGAGATGCTCAGTAAGGGATGAGTGAATAAATGAATGAAGTGCACTTCATGTTTTGTCAGTCAAAGAGTATTACACAATGGTTAATTGTTGCTGGGGTTTTTTCTTTTTTGTGTTTTATGTATTTCATCAGGTAACTCTCGATCCCCTATTATAGAGAGGCCTTAGTTTTACACATCATGTGGATAGAGTGAAATAGGCTGAACCATCACCAATGTCCTCAGCTCTAAGATTCTGACTGATGGGGAAGGCATGCCAGAGCAAGTATCCAAAGTTGAAGTTAATGATGTTCCAGGAGATGAATATCAGGAGGCTAGGGCGTTCCAGGTTTTAGGAACCACATGTGCAATGCTCCAAATTGTGACTAGTTTGATGAAAGTTTGATGAGATCAGAAAGTTGAATTCCTATGTAGTCATATTTTTTTCTGTGTAAACTTGGACAAGCTATTTGAATTCTCTGACCTTCATCTTCATCATCTGGAAAATGGATATGGTTGAGTTGTTATGAAGAATGGGGGTACACTTTATGAAACAATTCATATGAAACGAATACTCAGTTCACAGTAACTTTACTGTTCATATTTTATGTGGATATGGTTGAACTTCTGGTTTATGTGTCTTAGCAGGATATTATATTAATCATTGTTGAGAAAGCTGTTGCAAGGTATGGGTACACAAGTAGCATGGAAGTCTCTTTCTGTACACACCTGAGTTAGCCAAAGAGAGATCATAAAATCATTTTTTGATAATCGTCCCCGGTTCATTACTTAATACAAAGCAATTACTCTGGAGTCTCACTATAAAACAGCCCATGGAAAAGAGTGTAAGGAGTGTCTTGGATCCTAGCCAAAGTCCTATTAAGTGCTAGAAATACTAAAGAACTCAGTGCTAATACTATTCTAACAAGAATGTCAGTGGGTGATTATCATTTATTGAATATCTAGTGGGTATCAAATGCTGAAATGGGTATTTGACACCTGTCTGCTCTGTTTATCTTCATGACCTATTGGGGTTAGTTATTTTTAACTCCTTTTGTTCTGCCTTAGAAAAGAAAGACTAAGAGAGGAAAAAGCAATTTGCCTCAGGATTTAAAAGGAGAGAGCCATAATTTGCATTCAGGAGTACTACCATGTTTTCTTTTCTCTACTTGGGCCAATGACTTGACTTTCCTAAAATAGGTGAAATAGAAAAACACACCTTGGTGCTGTAGGCATTCAAAGCTAATGGGCCCCGAACACCTACATATCAGAATCCTGCTTTTCTCTGTTTTTAGGTCAGGATCGCAGTGAAGCCACTTTGATAAAGAGGTTTAAAGGTGAAGGGGTCCGGTACAAGGCCAAACTGATCGGGATTGATGAGGTTTCCGCAGCCCGGGGAGACAAGTTATGTCAAGACTCCATGATGAAACTCAAGGTACTGCGCTAACATTTTACTGAAATATTGTGGGTTTAATATGAGTGAGAAAAAGAAATGATCACACAGTCATTATGGTAAAAAATTATATTTATTTATTTATTGGTAAATTACTTATTTATTGGGTTACTGATGAATCACTGTCTTTATTCATTGAGAAGAGATTTCAGTTACTGAGCAAATGTTTATTGGGTACCTCCGATGTGGAAATATTTTATTAGGCCCTGTTTTATCATTTGATTGTCACACTTTACTCAATTTTATCTTCTTTGTGCAATGCCTACAAAGTTAAAACTAAAATCATCAAATTGTACAGTCCTTGAGATTTTATTTTTATCACTTTATTTTTAATAACATATATTTTAGTATAGTATAAATATGACAAAAGATGCAATGTTAAGATAATAGCTGATTTTATTTATTCTTATACTTTTATTAATGTCTTCAAACACTATAATAAAGGAAAAATTTTTAAATGTTAATCCTTACTCAATATGTTTATTGACTTTAGAGAGAAAGGGAGGGAGAGAGATAGAGAAACATTGATGTGAAAGAGAAACATCGACCAGTTGCCTCTCATATGCCCTGACTGGGGATTGAACCCTCAACCTAGGTATTTTCCTTGACTGGGAATCAAACTGGCAACATTTTGGTGTACAGGATGATGCTTCAACCACCTGAGCAACCCTGCCAGGGCAAGGGAAATATTTTTTAAAGTTATGTATAACTAGATATTGGAATTTGGAGGTACCACAAAGAAGTTTCTTATTTTAAATGCTTTCAAGATACCTCACTGAGAAATCTAAGGAATAAATTGAAAAAAAAATTTAATATGCAAAATAAGAGAAGTATAATAGTAAATGGCTATTAAAAACATACAAAAAAGAAAATTGTTTCTAGATTGTGGTCTCCATGTGGTCTGATTTTTTAAAAAAAATAATAATATAAAATATCTTTTTAAAAATTCAAATTGTTTAGCAACAACTCTACAAAATATCTTTTTAAAAATATTTTATTTATTTATTTTTTAGAGAGAGGGGAATAGAGGGAGAAAGAGAGGGAGAGAAATATTGTTGTGAAAGAGAAACATTGACTGGTTTCCTCTCACATGTGTCTCAACCAGGGATAGAACCCACAACCTAACGATGAGCCCTGAGTAGGAATCTAATTGGTGACCTTTTGCTTTGCAGGACGATGCGCGACCAATTGAGCTATGTCACTCAGGGCTCCTCAAAATATCTTAAGAGTTTAAAACATGTCATTATTTTACTGATTATAGAACTCACAAAATGTTCATCATAAAATGTTTTGAAAAATACAGGAAAGAATAAGGAGGAAAATTGAAATTACCCTCAGTCCCAACATACAAGAAAATCAATGTTAACATTTTAGAAATGTATAATTTATAATCCCTCTTTGTATTGTATATATATTACATGAATTATACACATATGTAGTATTAGGATTATTATTTATACAATTTTATATCCTACTTTTTAATCTAATAATGTATTATAAACATTTAAAAATTATCTTCAAATTTTCACTAAGGATACAGCGTGATCAGTGTAATTTTCTTAAATATAAGAAAAAAGGAATTAAAAAGAAAAGACTGGCCAAATGCCTAAAAGTATTATATGGGGCAATATCTGCAAAACACTCTCTACATTGCCTTTCCTTTAACATTTGCTTAATAAATCACAGCTGTAATTTTTGTTTACACTATACAAATTTTCTCAGCAGTTTAACATGTATATCCAATGCTGTTTCCCTAAAGTATGACTGTAGGAATCATCCTTTTTAAAAACTCTTTTAATTTTCTAAACTATGTATCCATTACTTTCTTTTTATTTTTTTAGCTGTCACCTAAGCAAACTTTATTTTAATAGTCATGTATCTACAATATTATTAGGTATACTAGAAAAAGGTGTAAAAGACACCCAAATTGTGATGTCACAGATTACTACCTTGGAAAAGGTTGTTAACATATTCTTTTTTATAATTAAGCAATGTTATGAGATTTTAGGGCAGTCCAATAATGAGTGCTCTTCTTCTACCAAGTTCAAACTGGGTTGGCTAAAAGAGGAATCTGACAAGAAGATTCTGAGTTCCAGCTTTACAACTGCTAAGTGCTGCTCTGGAAAACATGCTGTAGATACACGGTCACAGTGGGTATCCTTGGAAGAGCTGGGCTGTTCCCCTGGGTTTATGGGGAATTAGATGACTGCGGGCCCTCCCTGACTTCCTCATCCCTTTCCCTGCTCCAGAGCAGCACCTTGACTCACACATGAGATCACACCAGAATGCATCCTCATTACCAGCAGGCAGCTGGCATAGAGGCCTGGGAGAGACTGAGCCATGTGTGCTCAGCTTCTCTCCAAGCTCCCCAGTCAGATAGAGCCACATCTGCTTCCCAAGGAGACCCTAATCAAGGGTGGGGATAAAGGCCAGGACCTTGAGTCTTGCTGACGTCCTTCCTTACTGAGTTTGAGGCCAGGTAAATAGAGATTTGTTCCTGACAAATGTTAGTTAAAAGACATCAAGAAAACTTCCAACGATCTCATTCCCACCCAGAGCTACAAGCTGCTGAAGGGGAGAAAGGAACTCTGATGCATCTTCTCCCTGCTCTCCTCCCTGCCCCCCTACCCCCCTGCTCCCCACCCCCAGCATCCTGGTAGAGAGCCATTCAGCAGGCATCTGTCACAGAGTGCCTTATTGTCAGCTGCCTTGCCTCCATGGGAGTACCAAGGTCCATGTGGCTATGAGGCAGGAGTTGGCCTGTACTTCTTTAAGGGTCACAAAACATAGGGCCATGTTAGCTGGACCAGACCTGGTGATGACTGCTGATCCTGCCGTGTGTGTGTGTGTGTGTGTGTGTGTGTGTGTGTGTGTGTGCATGTGCGTGTGTGCGTGCGCGTGTGTCTGTTGGTTCCTGCAGTGAAGTTTCCCATCTGTCAACTCTCATAATGACAGGTTTCCCAAAGCCCTGCGAGTTTGTCCTACTCTAACACATTCTTTTCAGATGTGCTGAATTTGTTGAGGGGCTTTGGTTCTCAGACCATTGTGTTTCATTATTTGCAAGTTGCCAAAAAGAATGTTGACATTTCAGCTCCCAGTGGTTTTTCTTTAGGAAACACAGAAACATAAATGATCGATTCTTCATTTGGCCACCTGCCCAGGAAGGCGTCAGAGAAGTACAAGATGCCTCTTGGCCTTGCAGAAAGGCCCACTTGTTCACGGTAGACAATATGAGAAATAAAAATAATCATGTTTTTCTTTGTCAGATTCTTTGAAGCTGGTGCCTTTCCCAGTTTTAGAGTTTTCTCTTGGATTGTAGAGGTTTCAGGTGGGGTTCATACCATGAGTCTGAGTGAGCCATTGCCTGTCTACCAACAAAACACCATCATCATCATATTTTAATTTGCGGTCAGCAAGTACTTCCATATACATCATTTCTTGATTGTGTGAGATATTAGCCTCCCTGTTTTGTAAATAAGAAATCTGACGTTCATGGAAATTAAAGGATTTGCTCCAGAACCTTCATTTAACCTGTGATAAGCCCAGAATTCAAACCCAGATCTTCAGAAGCCCAGTGTTTGACAAGACATAGTTTAAAGCTAAACAGTATTTTGTTTTGATCTGCATTTAATGTATCTTATCTTCCCAATTAGATTTTAAGCCCCTACCAGTAAGCTACTACCCAGTAGACACACAGCATTGACTTCCAAAGTAGTCACCTTTCAGAGACAATGGGTAAAATGGCAGTGGTTGAAGCTTGGGAGAGGATGAGATTACAGAGCCCTAAATATGTCAGTCAGGTCCTATAAGAAACAGAGACCATCCTGGCTGGGTCAGATGTGAGCACTTTAATGAAGGAGCTATTTACAAGAGTAGACAAGGTTAGAGTAGCAAGAAGAACTGTTGGGGCACCCAGAAATTAACCACAGTGTTATCCTAGGGAGATGTATTTACTGGAACCCAGGGAGGAAGATCAGAGGATGAAGTCCCCTCCCTCACCAAACAAAAATACAGCTACTGCCAGAGATGCAGACAAGGACAGGGAGGAGGTGGGGAGAGATGCCGAACCTCTCCTTCTATCCACCCTTCGATCTCTAACTGGAAGCCTGCGGGAGGAAGTTCAAGGACAGAGAATGCAGTCTGCAGAAGCCAGGTTCTGGGCACAAAGCAGGGTGGAGGAAGATATTTGTATTGGTAATACTTCCCCCTTTTAACTTGGAAATGTAAAACTTAGCAGGAGTTTTTATCCAAAGATCTTACAGCTGGTAAGACATAGGGCTGATTGGAGACCAGGTTTCATTCACGGAGCTTTTGGAATAGCATTCTGGGTTTTCACTCATTCATGCCTGAAGCCTGTAGTTTTCACACCTGCTTTATGTGCTCCATGGAGACCCCAGCCATTCCATCATGTGCGTGCACCATGCTGGGTGAGATTTCTCACAGCCCTTTCCTCTACCTCATCCTCATAGGATGGTGAGCTGGACAGGGCAGTCCATCAGTCCTTCCTGGCATGCATGACCCCTGCTGGGTGTGTAAATTCCTCCACTGCGATGCTACTTCTGTGTGATTCCCTTAGGGAATACCTGTGCCACTCATTTTACACAGTGCCTAACACATGGTATTGCTTAATCATGTCAATATAAATACTGGTAATAATGATAATTTAGATACTTTAGATCCCCACATGCTACTTACCCTGCAAAGTACACTATGTGTATAGTCCACATAGATGTCCTAACATTCTTATGAGGCAAAAAGTGTGATTATTCACTTTTTGGAGTCTCTTTCAATGTTGAGTCTGGAAGCTGGTGGTTCTGCCTACCTATTTGCAGAATATTTTGGACATATCTGTAGTATATTATATAGTCTATTTTTTTGTCATCTATGCTTCTCCTCAAATCTCTTGCAGAGTTTCGTACTTGACGGAACTCCAACATTGGAATCTGAAAGATCGCTGTTTAAATTTCCTCAATGTCTTCTAAGTTCCTTGAGGTTTGGGGTGGTCACCTGACCCTCTGAGCTATTTCTCCATATGTAAAATAAGAGAGATAATTCTTACTTCCCAGGATTGTCATATGAGCTATATTATATAACATGTAAGAGATAGTAGATACCCAGTAAAACGTTTGTCTACCTAATTTTCAGGTTTCTAACAGTGACTTGCTAGGTCAGGTGGCTAATCTTAAGCACAGAACCCCAAAGGGCCCCTACTTCCTCATCTTCCAACTTCCCAGCCAGAGCTGTCGCCTGGACCTCCGTCAGTTCTACGTAACAGCAGTGGGGTGATCTGGGGGAGATGAGACCCCAAGGCAGCACGTGCTGTCTGATGGCAGGCGTGCTTGAACTTAGAGCAATTTTTCAGAGTCTGACTCAGGGTCTTGTCTCAAAGGAGAAACTTGTTTGATAAAATTGGAGTTTTATTTCCCCAAAGATAGGGTTATGTGAATGGTCCTTCTTGCTTTATTTGTCACGCAGAGCTACTGCCAGCAGCCCCAAACAGAAATGCTCCTGGGCCATGAATGTTTGCTTTCTTCGTGCTCTCTCCATCTTTTTTTTTTTTTTTTTTTTAAGATTTTACTTATTTTTAGAGAGAGGAGGAGGGAGGGAGAAAGAGAGAGAGAACACTGATGTGCAAGAGCAACGTCGATCTGTCGCCTCTCACACACCCTGAGCCAGGGACCTGTCCCACAACCCAGGCATGTGCCCTGATGGGAATTGAACTGGCGACATTTTGATTTGCAGGACAGCGCCCAACGCATTGAGCCACACCAGTCAGGGCACCCTCCATTTTTTTAAATACACAGCCATATTCCACCAGGGAGTTCGTTAATAGCTACATGGAACCAGGAAGCAGAGGAGGGCATTATCTAGTCAGTACTACTATGTTCTGGGAATTATTGCTGTTTTATTTTGCAGATTCTAAGCCCTAGGGACTGTTAGGGCTGTTTTGGAGATGGAGACATTGAGGTTAGTCTTCCTGACCAGAGGTTTAGCCCTCTCTGCACTATATCCTGTGATATCCTCGCCTAGGAAGGAATTAAATACGAAGGAGGGACTTTCCCCTTCCTTTGACACGGTCCTTCCAATCCTTCCATTTTGATGGGGCTACCTCTTGTTTTCTTCTTTGTGTATGTCTGGATACCTGAGGTTGAAGGTTAGGCTGAAGAAGGCTGGTGGCATAAGTTACTTTACTCCAAGTCCAGCCAAGAATGTAGTTTTCAAAGTCAAGTTTTCCTATGCTCAAAGTCTGGCTTGTTTATTACCGGAGTGAGGGCAAGTCATTTCACCTTTTTGAGTGTCTGCTTTATTCTGGGCTGTAATCACAGCACAGGGTACACAGAGTGAACAAAACAAAGTTTCATGAACAATTGAGTTTTTGTTCTTTTGGTCAAAGGCAGGCAGCAAGTGAATACTTATGTCAGATAGTGGTAAGTGCCATGAGGAAAAGAGATGTAAGGAGAAAGGAGATACAGTTTGCCAAGGAGGGTGGATCGGTCAGAGACTGTGTCTCTGATGGGGTGACATTGAACAGAAATAGGATCCCCCTGGAATTGCAAAGACACATACTTTGAACATTCCCCCAGGTCTTTAAAATCATCCCTCAGTCAATTCATAGGAAAGCAAGCAGTGCATTGAAGAATCTAGGGACCTTTGAGTAGAACAGAGGTGTTAGACAGACGACTGCTTTGGGGATGAGTCACTCTCTTTAACTATTTAGTAGGCAGTCATTGGAGGTGGGATCTTATGTCAACGTGTAGCAGTCATGAGAGGCTGAAAGAAGAACACTGGGTAGGGTTACAGGAGTGAGACATCAGCTTGCTAGAATTAAGACACAATGTGAAGAAATATCTTTTTTCTGCACCAAAATTTCAAGAGCTGAGTTGTATACTATCAGCTTTTTTTCCAGCTCTCTGCTGTCTATGGACTTTCTAGGCATCATTTTCTTGTCTGTCAGTTGGGAAATTTGGACTGATTAGTTTTCTGCTTTTCTCTGGCTCTAACATTCTGTACGTCTGTGAGTAAAGTATAATAGGCATTTAAGAATGAATGGGAAACTCATGCGGGAGTGAAATTCCTGGTAGTAGGTACACAAACAGTAACTGGGACATAAGCCTTAAGAAAAATCATTCATTTACGAGAAGTTGTTCATTTTCATTATATCCCTACAGTGTACCAGACATTGTGCTAGGTACTTTAAATAAAATTTTATTTAATTCTCTCAACCATGCAAGAAAAAGTATTTACACTTAGAGAACTGGAATTGAGAGTTAAGTAATTTGTCCAAGATCGCAGAGAGTTTGGTGTATAATCCAGATGTTCTCATTCCACAGAGTGTTTTCAGTACTCAAAGTGAAGAAAAGCAAACAACCTCAAGAGAATGAAAGTCCCTTCCTGTGCCTTCTGGTCGTATCTATTGCTCTCTAACACCAGTCATTCTCAGAGACTGATATTGAGTACATGCTAATCTGAGAACAGTACAAATGACCTTTATCTCATGGAAATATGAAATCAGTATTATTTTAAATTTTTTTAAACATTTTATTTATTTATTTTTAGACAGAGGGAAGGGAGGAGAAAGAGAGGGAGAGAAACATCAATGTGTGTTTGCTTCTCGTGCCCCCTACTGGGGACCTGGCCTGCAACCCAGCCCATGTGCCCTGACTGGAAATAGAACCAGCAACCTTTGTTTTATAGGCCGGCACTCAATCCACTGAGCTACACCAGCCAGGGCTATTTTAGGCTTTATTATACCTAAAAGCCCGAAGCCATAATTGTGCTGAGCTGGGCTTAATCTTTCCATTTTATTAAGCCCTTTGCGGAGACTAATAGTGAGGAAGAGGCTGGAAGCCTCAAAACACCTAATGCAGAGTCAGCAACAGCCTTTGAGTGTAAATCCCTTGGCATGGCCTTATCTCTGAGTTGTAGAAGTAAGAAACCCATACTTTTTGTGATGTTTACCTTTTGATTGACTTGTATACATACCATACCTTCAGTTTATAAAAAGTTTGGAAAAGTGTGGAAACAGATGTATTGGTAAACGGAATACTTTTGATAAGTACTTTCTTTGAAAGCCCAAGAATGATAGGGGGGAAAAAAAGTAGGGGAAAATACAAAAAGTCTTTGAGTAAATACTATAAACCATAGGCAGAAACTATGATGATCATATTTTTCCAAACAAAAATGTAGACATGCAGTCTGGTAATAATTTTTATTTTCTTTAATCTCTAAATGGATTCATAGAAGAACTTTTGCCAAAAACGTAAAAATAAAATCACATTTAGGAATATATCCCATGACTCACCTTTACTGAAAAGATTAAAACCGTATGCAATGCAAAACCCAGCAAAGATATTGATAAGAGGACCATATTGTATTTATCTCGGGATCTCAAATTCTGAGCCGAGTATCTAGGCACAAAGTAGGCATTCCACAAATCATGGTTAGCCAAATGAATCGGTGCTCAGACGCCTATTTATACAGTGTTAGAACAGCAAGGTTAAGTATTCCCCTAAAACATCAAGGGAATGCAAGCACATCAAGTAGGGAAACCGGGAAGGAGCAGAGAGAAAGGAGTGTGCGTGATTGGTGGCATCCATTGATGGTATCTGACATGCCTTTGGGACCGTAGGGCATTTTCAAATGAAAACACAAAGTAAAAACGGTGTCTTTCCTTTCAATAGGGCGTTGTTGCTGGCGCTCGTTCCAAAGGAGAACACAAACAGAAAATCTTTTTAACCATCTCCTTTGGAGGAATCAAAATCTTTGATGAGAAGACAGGGGTAAGTAAAAGAATCACATGGCATTGTGAAATGGAATCCATTGACAGATGTGCCCTTAGAAGCCTCTATCACTGGGCAGGAATATCAAACAAGCATAAAAACGCATAAAGCAACTGACAAACTTGATCAACTGCAATCGTCCATCAAAGGGAGGCTCTTCCCTGACTTGGCCACAGTGTGACTGCAGTGTGACTTACAGTGTAATTGTGATAAAAGTGTTACACAGTCCTGGTAATTGAATGGGAGATTGATGAGTTTTGAAGAGCGGTGGGTAATGTGACAGTCTAAGTTAGATTTCTCTGTGTTGGCAGCTTTAATGACACACGTCCTAGAGGGAAACGCATGGAGCTCTTTTGACTCAGTCAAAGCATCCAGACTCTCTTGTGTTGAACCTGTGGAACCTGGTAGTTGCTTTAATCAAAAAGAAAAAATAGAGTTTTCTGTCTTTCAAAAAAAAATTGGTCACCGCATGACCAGGAAATGTAAGGGCTGATATGTTTGTTGAACGAACCAAAGAAGCGGTCTGTGTTTTCATCGACCTCCCAGAGGCGATCCGCTCCCAGGTTCATCCTGGGGCTTGCCTCACGTTGTTGGTCCTGCTCATCTGATGGCGAGGGAAAAACAGGAAAAATATTCTATGATCTGTTTTATCAAGAGAATGAGAGTCAAATGGACATATTTGCCCTTTTACTTATTTATTCACCTCCACATGTATTACCTCCTTTGAACTTCACAAGGTAATTTATCAAGCACTGTGTAAACAATGCTACTGGCCAAGTTAATTAACCTTAGTCATTCTGTATAATTATTTTCTCCCCTTTGTTCTAACCCATATTAGGATAAAATATGGATAGTAGGGTGATCATTTAACAGTAAAAATAGGTTTTCTTGAAGAAAAATTTCTCCTGAACAACTAGTAATAGGACAATATATGGACACCCATCTTCATCACAGCGTCACTCGCAGTGGCCAAAAGGTGGAAGCTACCTAAGCGCCCTTCCATGGATGAACGGAGAAGTCACATGTGGTATATACAGGCATGGAATAGTATTCAGCAATAAAAGGAGGGAAGTTCTGCACGTGCTACAACATGGATAAACCTTGAGGTCATTATTCAAAGTGAAATGAGCTGATGACAAAAAGAAAATTCTGTAGGATTCCACTTACATAAGTTATCTATAGGAGTCAAATTCAAAGAGACAGATAGTAAAATGGTGGTCACCAGGGCCTCAGGGCAGGGGGTGATGAAGAGTTAGTGTTGGACAGGTACGGAGTTTAAGTTTGGAAAGAAGGCAACGGTGCTGGATGGATGGCTGTGATGGTTGCACAACACCATGAGTGTACTTTCTGCCTCTAAACCACTTAAAAAATGGTTAAAGTGGTCAATTTTATGTTATCTATATTTTACCACAATAAAAAACAGCTGGTAATAACTTCAATTTATTGAGTACATACTATGTACTAGGTCACTTTACATACGTAATTCAGTCACATTACATACATTATTCAGTTTTATCCTCACAACCATCCTATGAGATAATAATAATAATAATCACTATTTCATCAAGCACATAATATGTGCCAGGCAATTTTAGGTTATCTATATGGTCAATTTTATGTTATCTATATTTTACCACAATAAAAAACAGCTGGTAATAACTTCAATTTATTGGGTGCATACTATGTACTAGGTTACTTTACATACGTATTAATCACTTTACATACATTATTCAGTTTTATTCTCACAACAACTCTATGAGATAGTAATAATAATAGCTACTTCATCAAGCACATAATGTGTTCCAGGCATTGTTGTAAATCTTTTGTAAGTACTAACCCACTTAATCCTCACAACAACCCTATGAAGTATATAGTGTTACCCCTCCATTTTATAGTTGAAGATATCGAGGAGAGAAATGTTTATTAACTTGTGAAAGTAAGTGGCGGTAGAGACTAGATTAGAACCCAGGCAGTCCAGCTCACGAGTCTTTACACTTAACTGTAGTGCCTGTTATCTCTCAGGGTAAGGGACTTTCCCAAGCTCACCCAGCATGTTGGAGGCAGAGCTGGGATTTAGCTGCTAGTTGGCCTGAGTCAACAATCAATGCAATTGACTTCTATACGGAGAGAAAGGTAGGTCTGCCTACCTGGCGATGCCTTGGTAGGAGGGAGTTCAGAATGAAGAAATGAACACCTGTAGTAAAGGAGCTTGAATGCTGCAAGATTAGGAAGCTAGTGTAAGCCTCTCCTGCCTTAGGGAAGTATGGTTTTCCTTTTCTTGGGAAGACTATAGTTTGGAGAACTGTGCTCAGTTTTGAACCACACATTTTAAAAAGGATATAGGCAAATCAAAGAGTATTCTGGTAGGGGGACCAGGGCAGTTGGAGGAACAGCAAACTATGTTGAGCCAAGACTTCTCAACACACACGTGGCTTCTTAGGGTCCTCGATAACACCCAGAAGGCAGAGAGCTTTGGGCCTGCAGAAACTTGGAGGATGTGGATTCCTTAGCATCCTTTATGAGGGGGCCATGTAATATGGATCAAGCCTAACCAATTCATATGTCCCAATTTTACGTCATAATCTCTACTTTCTCCCCATTCCGCACCTGCCAATCACCATGACAACCGGCCTAACTGAAGAGACAGGAGTGAGGCAGAGCATCAGATGCTTTATCTCATGTGGGGGACATATTTTGGGGCTTTGCTGTTCCATCATGTAAGGGACCATCAAATAGGCTGTGCCCAGATAATGAAAGTCCTAATCACCCAATTTTAACTAATGAGGACAGGTAGTTTATATTCTTTACCTTTATCTAAATCCTCAGTCAAGGGTATCTAAGCTGACCCCAAAGAAAGATACCATCAAATCTTGTAATACTAGTTTTGATTCTTTACATGGACACAAAGAGAGGACAACAGTGAAATCATCATTTCAGCCTAAAGCTATATAGCTTTGTGGAAAAAATGTTAGATCCCTGGTGGAGAACCAGGATGAAGGCAAAGCTGAATGTTTTCTGTCTGGCTTAGTCTACGCCGGTTCTGTTTGATTAACGTCAGGCCTCTGTAGCACCAGCTTCTGCAACCTTTCTCTTCAGTATGCCTTTTTGAACACAAATCTGGGGAAAACTGGCAGAGCGAACTAGACACATTTAAGCCTGAAGTAGAGACAATAGGGGGCAGGGCACCCCAAGGGAATAGTGTTCATCTCTCCAAAAAGTTGTGTAGAAGAAGGTGGGGACTTGCTCTGTGTAACTCAGGGAATAGAACCAAGACCAGGCAATAGAAGTTTCTAGGAAGTAGTTTCAGTTTATAAATAAGAAAAGTTTTCTACCAGTCAGAACTGTTGAACAGTTAGGTGAACCACCTTCTGTACAAGTGAGTTGACCATTGCTGGGAGTGTTCAGGTGATAACCATATATGATAGGGAAACTGTGGAAGACAGTCAAGTGGAAATGAGGTGCTGAACAAAGCCACAGCTAAGGTGATAACTGAGACTAGTTTAAAATTCTGTGTCTCCCTTAAAGTTATTCCTATAAATATGCTTTATCTTCAGATAAATGGAAGTTTTCAAAATCTTCATGGGAGATTATGAGCAGGAACAGTTTTCTAAACTTTTGTCATTGCCCAGCAGGGGACCAACTGAATTGTGCAAAATTAGAGTCTAAGCGAAGCACTCTGTCCTAAATATCAAAGAAATGGAAAACTGGGTCGTTGTCATTTGGAATGACTAATTTTAGTTGTTTATCATGTCTAAAGTATGTCTGCTCAAGCTTGACTGCACTTTTTTTTTAACTAAGAAAAGAAACATTTGCAGAACGTGACAATAGCTAGAATTTTAAAATCCAAAAGCTGTCAAAAATGTTTTGATTCCAATTAAAGAGACCCTTTGCAGCAATTTACACCTTGTCTTGAATTTCAAAGGGTTCTTGATCCTAATCCTCATATGAGTAAATTTTGTCTTATTATCTGCATGTTGCAGGGAATAAGTCAATATTGAAAGCTGTTCATAATTGCAGATACTAAGGTATTGGTAGTATGTCAAAGGAATCATTGCAAATGCAGAGAATGTCATGTAAATTCATTGTTATTAGTAATAGCAGGAGCAGTAGCAAATCAGGAATGGTTTCATATCAATATATTAATAGGTCATCAAATCAGACTAGTGGACACCAAGGCAAAAGTGATAACATGTTTATTTTGCAGATAAGGAAACAGGTTCTGGAAGTGTCCCTGACTTGGCTGTAGAGTCAGAATAGATCTTCTAACTCCAAATCCTGTGTCTTTCCAGGCAAATTGTTGAGCTTGCTTACCTCCCCATTTACAGTTTTATTCTATAGAATTATTGTAATTTTATGCCATAAAAATCATAAATAGTGTATGACTCTAAAGATAAGTCTGTCTCTCAGGATAGAGAACAGTGGTTTGCATCAGATTTTCAAGATGATGAAATATCTTGTTGCGCAATCACATGTGAATTTTGCTTGTTTACTTGATTTGGCCATCACCAATTTGGCACTCTTACGTTCACTATTCTATGTACGTTATAACAATTCAGTGACATGTAAGTGGTATTCTCACCATTTTACAGATGAGAAAACTGAAGGCCAAATAATTTAAGTCACACAGCTACTAAGTGGCAGAGCTGAGATTCAGACACAGGTAGTTAGGGCCAGAATCCTTGATGCTATCAAGATATTACTAATAATAACATACCTGCCTTAACAGAAATACCATAAACTAGGTGGCTTATAAACAACAAGTGTTTATTTCTCATAGTCCTGAAGGCTGGGAAGTCAAAGACCGTGGCCCCACCAAATTCAGTGTCTTGTCATGGCTGGCACCTTTTTGCTGTGGTAGAAAGGTCAGGATGCTTTCCACGGGCTCTCTTCCAAGGGCTCTTATTCCATTCATGAGGGCTCCACCCTCATGACCTAATCATCCCCAAAGGCCCCACCCCTTAATACTATCACCTTGAGAGTTAGAATTTCAACATATGAAT